AACCAACCAACCAACCAACCAACTATTTCGATATTTCCCCTGGCTTTATTTTTAAGTCGTTGAACAATAGCTTCGGCGTTATATCTTGTGAAATGTTATAATTATCTTGAACTTTTTGAATTATGTAGTTAATTCTGTCAAAAATATCTGGAACACATAAACAAACTTCGTATAAACTAATTCATTTTGCTTTATGGCTCTGACTTTATTAAATAGAAGAATATGTTAGGATTATTTTGAATTTCGCGCAAAGCCACACGAGGGCTATCTACGCTAGTCGTCCCTAATTTAGCAGTGTAAGACTAGAGGGAAGGCAGCTAGTCATCACCACCTACCGCCATCTCTTGGGCTACTCTTTTACCAATATTATAATGCCCCACGGCTGAAAGGACGAGCATGTTTGGTGGGACAGGGATTCGAACCCGCGACCATCAGATTGCGAATCGAGACCCTAACCATCATGCCGGGTCTGAGTTTTTTGGGATTCAAAACTGTAAGTAAATTGTAATAAATATATTTTATTGGTTGGTTGGTTTTATAGCAAAGCTACATAATGGACTATTTGCGCTGTGTCCACCTCTGGAAATCAAACTCAAGATTTTAGAGCTGTAAATACGTACATTTATCGCTGACCCACTGAGGGACACCAAAAAAATATGTTGCTGTTTTTATTTTGCAGTTCATGTAAAGCAGTTTATGTGAAATCACATAATATTTTCCGCATTTTTCACTACAAACTATCAACCTCCTAGAAGTATTTTGTGTGTTGTTTTCATAGAGCTTGTTGTGTTATTCCCTAGGCAATCTGTAAAAATGTTCCATCTTTGTGTAGAAGCAGAAAAAAATATATATAAATAACTTTAGCACAGAATTCGAAAAATAATGTCGCTTCAGAACATGATTTTTCTGCATAATTGCCGACTAGATTTAATGATTGGCTAGCACAAGATATAAATATGGCTGATGCTGCCTGCTTTTTAATTCTTGCTGGAAGTCCCTAACATTTTTCAGCCATATTGGAAGCATTATCGCAAATTTGTCCTTCACAGTTTTTTATGTCTAGATTTAATAATAGCAAGGTACTTAGCACAACTTCCTCTACATTTTCGGCAGTGTGAGATCTGATAGGAATAAATCCAAAAAATATTTCTTTTATTTGCCCATC